TGTAACACCTCCCTTCTCCCACCTGTCAGCCCCAACCCAACAGTCCTTCCCATAAGGCAGGGCACCAAGAAAAACCTACCCTAGACACACCTCCATGGCACATATCAGCCAGCCTGCCATCAGGAGGAAGTGACTGAGGTCTTAAAAAAAAAAAACAACAAAAGCAGCTGACAAGAGTGCCCCTCCAGCTTTCCAGGGCACAACATCTTGTCTCAGCAGTAGGCAGGGGGCTGGGGGATGGGAGCTGTCTTGGAGATGAGTCATCAATGCCTCTGCAGGGTTAGCCACAAGAAGGTTGGCTGGGACAGAGGAGATTCAGCCCAGAGAAACAGGGGCCCTTTTGGGAGTGGTAACATATCCCTCCTTCCCACAGAGTCTGGCCTGGGCCAGTCGACCTGCTGGGGCTCATGCCCACCTGATGGGGATTCAGTTGTATGGGGATGGGATAGGAGTTATCCTAGGAGAGGAATAAAACTTTTAAAAAGGAATTTCCATCTATAGATTCAATGCAATCTGACCAAAATCCCAGCAAGCTTTTTTTCCTGGATATTAACAAGCTTGTCAAATGTATAAGGAAAGGCAAAGGAAACAGAGCAGCCAAAATAATTCTAAAAAGGTCTCCTCAAGCAGTGGGGCAGGGGCATGGGCAGGGAGACAGGGGAATGACTCTTCCAGATGGCTGAAGAGGGGCAAGCCCCTGGGGTGCCCACCTCCAATCCTGCTGGACATTCCCATTTCTTCAGCACAAACCCTGGCCGGGCAGTATACCTGGTTAGACAAACAGATCTGCAGAATGAAGCCACACAGCTTATTTCCAAGGACTATCTAATGTACCAAATAAACGAGGCTCTACAAAGTGGTTCCTAATCATTAACTTCTTGGTCAAATATGCTTATTTCTACTCCCATCCATCCACCTCACTGTTTTCCCAACTACTGCCCTATGTGCAAAGTTACCTAAGTCATATAAAAGTTAACTCTGCCTTTTCAAGGTCCTGCAACTCTCTCAGGAGGGCCTCACAGTGTCTTCCTTCTGCCCAAAGCCCCGGCACTGGCTGGGAAGGCAGGTATGGCATTTGCTCCATTCACCAGGTGAAGCAAGTTTTCTTTTTCTTCCTGTCTTCAGTTGAAGACACTGAGGCTCACTGAGGCAATGCGACTTGCCCAGGGGCAGAGAGCTAATAATTGGCAGGCCCTGGCCTCAAATCCAGGACCTACTTCCAAATCCTGAGCTCACTCCATCTGCCTAGTTCCTGTAATTTCAGGGCCTGCTGTGGAACCAAGATCTCCTCAACATTTGTTATTTCCCAGGTCCTTAAGTTAAAAAAAAAAAAAAGTGCATGATGAACTAGCTACATCAATCAATGAAACTGGCCACTAGGCCTCTGCAAGGGACACTGAGTGACCCAGAGGGTGACTGGGGCAGGCGGATCCTGCTCTGTTGGTTGATAGGGGCACACAGGGAGCTGAGGTCCTCATACATTCACAGGGTTGTCCAGTGGTTAGAGTTCCAAGCTGGGTGACTGTGTGGGAGGACTCCATGTCAGGGCATAAGAGGAGAAAGGCAAGAGGAAAAGGAGGGGAAGGTGCCCCCCAACCCAGCCCCCTGGGACAACTTAGCCTCACCCATCCACGCTGGGCCCCAGGTCCCAGTGACTCTGTGTAAAGCTAGGATTGGGTTTCATAAGCAGGACTTTTGGGGGATGGGATGATGTCTGTTCATGTCTCCCCAACAAGAGGTTATACCACCCAGCCTTTCACACTGCAGGTTCCCTGCTCCGGGCTTTTGCTACCCACTCCCCACCACTCAGATACCAGACCTAACTCAAGAGGTGTATTCTCCACGAGGCCATGTCCTGCTGCCCTTGGCCCAAGGCAGCCCAGAGAGGGCATTGCACTTCTCTCAGGATACTTCAGAAGGGCTAGTGCCCACAGAGCCTCCTACCTGGTACCTGGGCTCAACTCAGGCTGACCTGGACTGAAGAAGCAGGCTGTTACACCACCTCCCAGGAGCCAAGTAATCCGGATGCTTGCTGGTGACTGACCTCAGAGGTCATTCTTCCAGTGGAGTAGAAGGTCACCCCTTTCTCCCCAGTGCCAAAGGAGGCTGTAGGAGGCGCTGTGGCCTAGAGGCTCTCTGGAGTCTGCTCCCAATCCATAAGCATCCCACTTGGGAGTCCTTTCCAGACCTGGGGTACAAATAAGGAGAAAGACCCCCTTTCCTGGACATGACAGCCTCTGCTGCATCTTGCTCTCCGTAGAAAGCCCACGCCCAAGCCCTGCAGTCTAAGGTTAAGTCCACATGGGTCTGGCCCTGTGTTATAGTGACCAAGGCTCTGACCTGCCTTCCTAAATAACCCAAGCAAGTCCTCTGCTCTAAATCTGTTAAAGCCCCATGAGCCTGCTTTTCTCTGAGGGCTAAAAATACAGGCACAGTCCCTGCTAAGGCCAGGCTTCCTGGAGAAGTTCACCTGTCCAAACTCTAGAGGGACAGCCCCAGACTCCAAGCTCCTGATTACCAGGCCAGACATGTTCCACCACACTCCACTGCCTGAAAAGAGGCCGGGTTAGAGAAAAGCGAAAGAACGTGCTGAGTAGAAGCAGAACCCAATTCAATGTCCAGCATGCTTGGGCCCTGGGCTGTGGTGAGAAATGGGACAGGGCCTCAGAGCAGGTCTTGTGCTCCACCACAAACGGCCTGTTAAGACCCAGCGGTGAGCAGGGCGTTGGCACGGGGCCTCACATGGCATGGCCTCTTTTATCCAGGGCTCACTGACAGAAACCTGAAACTACATATACCCTTCATTTTCTTTTTCACACTGTTTTTGTTACGAAATATCTCAGCACAGACAAGTTCAGAGAGTAGCCTAACACATATATACTCACCTCCTCCAGAGTCAACAAAAGCAACATTTTGCCATATTAGAGACAGGTTTGTCCCTTTCCCTCTTTTCTTCTTTTAAACAAAAATCACACGTCACAGACAGACCCTTTCCCTAATTCTGTTTCCTCCCTGCTTCTTTGGGCGCAAATATGAGGCCATCACTCCCCATGCACATGTCCACACTTCTGCTTTTGCTTTCTTCAGAGCAACTGACCTCTTATCACACACCTGCCTCTTGTTAACAGTCCGTCTCCCTCCAGAGAATGTCAGCTCCATGAGGGCAGGGGCTGTACTTTGTCCCCTGTTGCCTCCCTGGGCCCTAGAATGGTTTCCTGTACAGAGCAGGCAACCAATAAAGTCAGTACTTGTTGACTGAGTAACACACACATATATCATTCTGTGTTTCTAAATCTGATATAAATGTTCCTGCCCTGCATGCCTTAATTCTGAAACCTGCTTTTTCCTTCACTCAACACCATGTTTGAGATTCAGTCACATGGTTCAACATTCAAGTCTCCTACTGCACGACCCACCCACCTGTTTGCCAATAATTCTTCTTTCTCATCGAGGAGGAGGAGGGTCAGAGAAGAAACCACCAGCAAATCAAAGAAAGTATAGAAATTGGAACTCAAGGCTCTAGCGAGCAATTGAGAACCTAAGAACAAACCAGAAGACCAAAGGGCCTCTAAGCAGTTACCATAAAAAGGGGGAAACTGCAGGCACCCACCCCAAAATCAAACAAGTCTGGGGTCACCTGGCAAAGGAGCAACAACATGGCCTTTGTCCTCACATCACCAGCCAGGGACACGAAGCGCTGGGGGCTAAGGCCCAACAAAAAGACCCTGCCCCAGTGCTAGGAGACGCATTCCACGCTGAGCAGCACAAGCTCTCAGCATGGAGCTGGTGCTTGTCTCACCTGAGTGAGGATGATGTGAAAGCACTGTGTAAATGGTGTTTGAGAGCTGCTCCTGATTAAGGCAGAGATGAGGGCCTGCACCTGGGGAGGTTCCACTCACATTGGTGAAGGCAGAAAAAGGCTGTAGCATTAGGAAGGCCTGCTCCAATGTGCCTACCCAGCTTCCTCTAGGGAGCATGCCCTTCCCCTATTGCCCTCCTCAAAGCACAGCTCAGCGCATCAAGATCCACCCCCCCCAAGTTGGCAGGTGCCTGCACAGGCCCTCTGCCTGAAGGAAGCTGCTCAGGGCAGAGGAAATCAAGACACACAGTCGGACCCCAGGCAGAGGGCCCCAGCTCAGGGCTGCGCGTGGGAGGGAGGACATGAGACCTCAGGAACTGCTGGCAGGGGGGTGCTAGTCAGACAACTCACAAAGATCAGCCACGCTACACGCTGGCTCCTGCAAACAGCTCCCAGGGATTTTCGAGGCAAAACAGCCTCTGAAACTCTGTAGAGGTCGCAGTCCTCAAGACTGGGGGAAGATCTCGTGCCTGCAACCACGAGGGAAGGGCATCCAAGCCCCTCACATGTTCTGTGTTTAGGCAACTTAAGTTGTCAACCACATGACAGTATTTGGCAAAAGAAGATAATACTCTAAATGAACTACTGAGGGAGCAAAGCCAGGGGGCAGGGGGGAGCACAAACAAGAGAAGGAAGAGCCAGTCTTTGCTATGGCAAAGGTGGAGGAGAGAAGAGGAGGACCTCCAGGCTGAAGGGGCAGTGTAAAGAGAGGGACGGATAAAATGCTGGTCAGGAAATGTCGGGTGCCGGCGGTGGTGCTATAGGGAAACCAGAGGAGGTTGGACGGGGCCAGATGGCCCAGGCTGAGCTTTACACATCAGGTACAGAACAGGGACCTGATTTTGTAGATGCGATGGAACCATGCCACAAGAGGTGCGTGAGAGGAGTGAAAACACACAATGTGAGGGTTAGAAAGAAAACACAGATGGTTGAGAAAGCCTGATGACAAATGGGGGAGAGAAAGCAGAGAAGACCCCAAGGAGTGAGACGGTCGAGATTTCCAGGTCTGAATAAAGCAGCTGTGGAGGAGAGAGGGGAACAGGACAGACACTCTGCACGCAGAGCTGGGAAGATGTAAAGACCTTGGGACCTATGGGTGCTGGGGTAGAGAGCAGGGCCAAGAGCCCCACACGGGCATTACCTGTGCTTCTCGCCTTCCTCCTCCTCTTCTTCTCTGAGCTGCTTGGTCTTTGGTTCCCCATCTTCCTTGTCCTGCAAAGAAAGAGAGGAAAGCCACCTGCTCAGATGGACGCTCCTAATTCCAGTCCACACTGCCCAGGAAGCTAATGAAGAATAGGACATCTCAGGAGCCAGACACCCTGGCAAGGACCAGCTTGGTGTTTCAGCCTCCAAGCAGTGCACATGCCTACTGCATCTGACAGGCACAACACGGGAGCCTCACTGCCTACCCCTCAACTGTTCAAGCAGAATTTAAAAATACACGAACCCAGCCTAGTCCCAAGCACATGGTGCACACTGGTAGAAGAGCTGGAAGGTTTTAGGTGGTGAGAAATGGAGCTGGTTGGTGCCACAGAGGGCCCACACTGGCCAGCCACTGGCCAACTTCATGGGTTTAGATGGAGCCACCTGCTGAGCTGTGAGAGACTGGAGGAAGAAAAGTCACCAGCAACCACGACAGGATGGGAGCTCAGGCCTCCTGACTCCCCTTCCAGGCCAGAGAACTCTCTAGTAATACCTATTTGGTTCCCTTTAGAAGCAGCATAACTCAAACTAGGACCAGGCTTGTAAAAAGACTCACTGCCCAGGCTCGCAATGTATTCCAGGAGAAAGAGGCAAGGGTAATTAGTTTGAAGTTTCTATGAGAGAAATTTCTTCTAAATCTGGTTCTTTTCACTTGCCCCCGACCTCCACCTTTTTTTAAGTCTAGGAAAGTCATGTTCATCTCATCTCAACCTTGACATGGTATGTTGTTCTCCAGGTGCACTGAGGGCCACAAGAAAAGGAAATTGCCACGCTGCTTCCACCTGCAGCAGAACACGTTTCTGGGGTTTCTCCCTTCCTACATCATCACGGCTGCTAAATCAGCCTGCCCTGTGCACAAACTGCCACACGGGGTGTGCATGTGCATGCTAAAATGCGTATGACCACACTTTGGGCCCAGTGCATGGACTGAGAGGCCTCCAGACAGAGCCCTGTCGCAGGTCTCCCTGTATGCCAGGGTTGGCTCCCTGGAGGTGTCAATGCTCACTTCATTACTGGCAGCAACCTGCCTTTGACTCTCACCGGAGCAATGTTCTGAGAGATACCTGTAAGCTCCTTCCATAGGCAACCTGCGGCAACAGATATAAGAATGAGCTGAGCTGACATAAATTATAAGTAAAATATCTGCTTGACTACCTCTGCGAGAGGTTTGTTTATGTCACTGACAACTGCCTCCCTGAAAGCGGCATTTGCTTCATGTGTCACTTCCTGCCAGAGTTCATCATGGAGACCCTGAGGGCAACAACTAGGTCCCACCATTTCTTGGCCACACAACTTAGCAGGGAGCAAACCACCAAAACCAGGCTGGAGGCCTGGCCCAGAGAAAGGCTTCTGTAACACAAACAGGTGAAGATGCCCCTTCCCCTCTCCACTCGAGGTAGCTCCATCTCATGGGGATGAGGCAGCAGCAACAAAATCAATGACCAAGTGACAACAGCTACATGAGAGGGGTCAACAAGGTTCTTGGGGGATAGGTGAGGGACTTTCCACTGACACATGGGCAGAATTTGGGTGTTACAGGATGAGGGGACAGGAGTAGAAAGAGCATTCTGGCGGGGACACCGCTTGAGCAAAGGCAGGGTGTGGTCCGAGGAACACACAGGTGGTTGGAGAAGCAGGGGGGTGAAGGTCAATGCCAGGTAAGATTGTCAAGGCAGCTAGGGGCTGATTACAGGGGTCCTGGCCAGTGTTCTAAGGCAACGGGAGCCAAAGGTGAGACTGGGGAGAGCCTGCCCACCCCTGCTCAGCCAGCCAGGCTCTGGGGCACAGAGGCATATGCTTGATGATAGCAAAGAGGAAGGGAGAGCAGAGTACAAACGCTTAACTGAGAAACAAGTTAGGGTTCTCCAAATGACTTCCAGGGCCTCCACAGAGGCCCAGCTGACACATGCACACCTCTAAAGGCTAGCCAATGCAGTAAGCCAGAAGCCTAGACAGTCTAACAAAAAGTTCTTCCCAACTGCCAGCTAGCAGACTCTCTGAAGGCCACCCCCTTAAGTGCCTGCCCATGGTGAGTAAGGGCAGAGACGAAAGAGCAGAAAGGGCTCTGCTTTCCCCAAAGTGGGCTGGGTAGGCAAGGTCCCCAGCTGGGCAGGAAGGCCTCTTTCCATAGAGGTTCTGTTAAATGGAACCAGACGGCAGAAGAGGGAAGGAACTGCAGGAAAGGGACCAGCCTTTGGGAGGAGTGCTTTACAAATAAGATGACCCTTCCCAGCCCTCGGGCAAGGTCAAACCACTGCCACCACCCTCCTGGAGGCCCAGAGACACTCAAGTGCCTCAGCAAAGGCCATGTTATTCATTAATAAGAGAGAAAACACCCAACGATAATAACATTTTTAAAAAATGCCCAGCACTGTGGTGGGTGGGGTACAGCACCAGCTCTGTAGACAGAGTGAAGTTTAGGATGACCCCAGCCTGGGATGCTGTGCAAAGAGCAGGGGCTCAAGAAAGATAAAGATACACATCTATGGCAGGAGTAGGTGAACAAATGAACAGGCACATAAGTAGGGGGACAAGGAGTGCTCCAGTCTTCCTGTTAAAGAGTGATTCAAGGGCTGGGTATGGTGGCTCTTGCCTGTAATCCTAGCACTTTGGGAGGCCAAGGCAGGAAGATTGCTTGAGGCCAGGAATTTAAGACCAGCCTGAGCGACATGGCAAGATCCCGATCCCACCTCTACAAAAAATAGAAAAATCAGCCAGATGTGGTGGCACTTGCCTATAGTCCCATCTATTCGGGGGGGCTGAGGAAGGAGGATCATTTGAGTCCAGGAGTTTGAGGCTGCAGTGAGCTATGATCACACCACTTTACCCCAGCCTGGGCAAAAGAGTGAGACCCTATTTTTTTTTTTTTTTTTGAGACAGAGTCTCACTATGTTGCCCGGGCTAGAGTGCCGTGGCGTCATCCCAGCTCACAGCAACCTCAAACTCCTGGGTTCAAGCGATCCTTCTGCCTCAGCCTCCCGAGTAGCTGGGACTACAGACACGCGCCACCATGCCCGGCTAATTTTTTCTATATATTTTTAGTTGTCCGATTAATTTCTTTCTATTTTTAGTAGAGACGGGGTCTCACTCTTGCTCAGGCTGGTCTCAAACTCCTGACCTTGAGCGATCCACCCGCCTCGGCCTCCCAGAGTGCTAGGATTACAGGCGTGCAAGTGAGACCCTATCTTAAAAAAAAAAAAAAAAAAAAAAGAGTGATTCACAGTGAGCACAATGAGCGCTCATGGGAAGGAAAATAGCTTTTGGGTGATCCTGGTCTAGGTTATAAGGTAGGACCCCTACTGCCTGGTATGGTGGATGGAGGTGCAGACCAGCCTGGAAGCCCACCCCTGCCTAAGAGACTCAAAGAGCCTCAGAACTGAAGGGCTCCCAGGCTAACTGGTTGCAGGGTCCTTAATTTAACCCAGGGGGTAACCTAGGAAATGGCTGTCAGGGAAAGAAAAAAGGAAAAGATTTGTCCAAGGTCACAGAACCTGTCAGTGGTAGCTGCAGGTCTGAATCAAGGTCCTCCTGATCCTGGTCCTGTGTTCTTGCCAACGAGACAAGAAACAGCCTATCAAGAACGGCATTAAGTTTCTAAAAACAGCTCTGATTCCAGTTGCCTCTCCTGTGCTCCCTATGAGGTTCAGATCTGGCCATGTGTACTCAGATGCAGCCACAGCCAGCCCAAGCCCAGGTCTAGGCCCTGGTGGTCACCCAGCAGTAGAGCAGACAGGGCCTGGGTACATAGCATCCCCGGGAACCTAGAGACACCTCGTCCATCCTGTGACATTTAAATCAGACTCAATGCCTCAGCCCTCCCTACACATACCCTTCCCAAACTTCTCTGCCTTTCTCCCTCCTTCCCAATCCCTACTCTCCTCTGCCACCTCCTTAGGTCCCCACCACAACCAAGCCCTGACTATTCCCCTCCAGCTATGCCTGCCAGCCAGCCATCACCTCCACTCTGGAGCATGCAGCTGCCTCCTACACTTCCCCCTCTTTCTCCAACCCATCTCCCCGAAGTCTCTCTCCACCTTATCCATCCACATTTGCTGGCCTCCTCTTCGAAGATACCAGTCAGATCACACTGAGCCTCTGCTCAAAGCTCCATCAGCTTCCCAAATCCCCAGGACAACAGCCATTCGCCTTAATCCCACCTGCCTGGCCCGAGGCAGTGCAGTCTCCCAAGACCCCATGACCCATCCTGTACCCTGTTCACACTGGCCTCTGTCCAGAACATTCTCACACCCAACCTTTTGTCTCAAATCCTGAAATGTCCACTCTGATAACCCCAAGGCCACCTCCTCAAGGCGGCTGACATCCCCAGGCAAAGGGCCCTCTCACTCCTCTGGGCCCAGTGCACATCAGGGTCTGACTCTTGGCCCAGGACACACACCTATGGCCATTCCTATTTACATCCAGGCTTTAACAGCCCTTCCCTTCCCCAAGTCCCTCTCAGCATGGGGCATCTTCTGGAGCACCTCAAGGACTAGCCCAGAGCCTATTTAGACAACCTTCATCAACTCTTTACCAATTTAACTACTACTCTCTCCACCAACTCCAGAAGAGTCAAACTCTCAGGAACACTGGTGGCTGGACAGCAGAAGAGTCATAGCCTGGACTGGGGCCCTCCCCACAGCTCACTTGCCTACTCCTGGAGGTATTCCCACATCTCCGACCCTGGCTCCAGTCTCCACTCCTAGGCCTTGCACCCCTGGCCTTACCTCCCCCAAGAGCCTGCAGGAGAAGGGAACATCTGAGGCAGGACTTCAAGGGGTCTCAAAACAGCCCTGCCCAAAATAGCCCTGACTTGTTTCCTAATATTTGAAATCCTTTTACCAGAGGCAAAATTTATAAATAAACTTAGAGTTGTGCAGGATTGGTATTATTTCTTCCTTAAATGTTCAATAAGACCTCAGTGAAGCCATCTTAGCCTGAAGTTTTCTTTGGGAGAAGATTTTAGATATAGGACTATATAGATTTTCTATTTCTTCTTGAGTCAGATTGTT